GAGTGCTTCCTCAGTAAATTTGCAGATTACACCAAGTCAGACAGAAGTGTTGATCTGCCTCAGGGTAGACAGGCCCTACAGAGGGACCTGGACAGGCTGAATCCATGGGCTGAGGCCAATTGTATGAGCTTCAACAAGGCCAAGTGCTGGGTCCTGCACCTTGGTCACAATACCCCCATGCAGCGCTACAGGCTTGGGGAGGAGTGGCTGGAGCTGCCAGGCAGAAAAGGACCTTGGTGGACATCCAACTGCATATGAACCAATGGTGTGCACAGGTGGCCAAGGTGGTAAATAAAATCCTGGCTTGTAGCAGGAATAGTGTGGCCACCAGGACTAAGGAGGTGATCTTTCCCTTGTACTCAGCACTGGTGAGGCTGCATCTCCAATACTGTGTCCAGTTTTGGGTCCCTCACTACAAGAAGGACATTAAGGCACAGGAGAATGTCCAGAAAAGGGCAATGAAGCTGCTGAGGGGTCTGGAGAACAAGCCTTATGAGGAGCGGCTGAGGAAGCTGGGGGTGTTTAGTTTGAAGAAGAGGAGACTGAGGGGAGACCTTATCGCCCTCTACAACTACCTGCAAGGAGGGAGTAGCAAGGAGGGGGTCAGTCTCTTCTTCCAAGTAACAAGTGATAGGACAAGAGGAAATAGCCTCAAGTTGCACCAGGGGAGGTTTAGACTGGATATTAGGAAAAATGTCTTCACTGAAAGGGTTGTCAAGCATTGGAAGCATTGCCCAGGGAAATGGTGTAGTCACCATCCCTGGAGGTATTTAAAAGATGTGTAGAGGCAGTGCTGAGAGGCATGGTTTAGTTGTGGACTTGGCAGCGCTAGGTTAATGGTTGAACTCGATCATCTTAAAAGGTCTTTTCCAACCTAAACAATTCTATACAGAGAAATAACTTAAAAACAACTTAATTTTTCATTAAGTGCAACCTCATTTTCTGCTTAGGAAATGATCTCATACGCATTTACTCAAAGCTCTCCGGAAACATCTTGATAGATTTCTCCTTCCATATTTTCATCCTTTGAATTCACATGAGGATGTCAGTGTTTACTTGAGTCAGGTGATATAAATTTCTGGTCCTGAATGGATATCTACATAACTAACACAACACAACACAACAGAAACTTCAAATATACTATTCGCACAACTTCAACTATACTTTAAAGGCAAGAACACAAGTTTCACTCCGAGTATACATATACACATCTATCCACGCACAAAAAGGGAAAAAAATCAGTTTCACAAGCACTTCTGGAAGGCAGGTATAACAGAACAGTGAAATATTTCAGTACTACTTCATTATTTGTATTATTTCCTTTTTGCTCTTTAGTCAGCTCAAAAACATTTCTGTACAGGTTACACCAAACATACTCAGCCCTTCTTAGTTAGAAAGCACCCTGCTCCCTAGGTATGCCTCCAGGCTCTCTCAACCTCACCTAACTAGTTAAAAACTCCAGACTTCACATCAGAGGATCTGTAGAGAACTGTAATGAATTCCAGCCGTCATCACAAGCTGCCATAATAGCTCCCTCTCAAAAATTACTTGAGCAGTGACAATTACCAAGAAAAAGCCTTAGCATCAGTTAAAGATAGAGGTTTCAGGCATAAGGCTTGGTTACCTGTTACGCCTGCCTTAGGATCTGCTTTGAACACAGGGTAGCACACAGGTCTTACACTGAACCACTTGAGAGAAGTGATTTTCATACAGTGTGAAAGCTTGTTGAACAACTGCTCCCCAAATTTACAGTTGCAACCCAGTTAGGAAAACAGTACTAAGAATTTAATGTGTCCACTTGTAACTCTTGCATAAAAATTAACTTATGGAGAAAAGCCACTTCTCAGCACCTGGTGAAGATGGCTGTTTTTAAGATGAAAACTGATTTTGTCTGTCCTTTCACTCAGTATACAGCAGGCTTACTTACAGAGTTTTATCTACGTGAGTCTAGGCACCCTTAAATACTGCAGCTATTAGGAATCTCTGAAAGCCTTGCCAACTTTTTGCTAGTAATAAATTTACATTCACTTCTCAGAAGGTGATTTAGGAGTTTCTTGCATATGACGTAATTGATTGATTTACCTGACTGTGCTTCTACATTCTGTAAGTGAATGCAGATCAGATTAGTGTTTGCTTGGGTCAGCAACTAAGCGAATGCCTACCAGGGTGTGGAAAGAACCTACAGCCCCTTATTATAACCAGATCTCAATTTCCTAACTTATACTGAAGAGTGCAACTGTATCTGCTTTTAACAAATAGCCTACAGCTGCCCTGAGATACAATCTTTTAAGAACCTCCACAAACAGTCAATGTTAAATTGTGGAATATACCATAACTGGGGAAAGGAGTTGGATCACATTCCTGTCTTTAGGAACTGACCTGGGGCAAAGGACACCTAGCAAGCAACAGATTACTCACTAAAGAACAGAAGCTTTTTTTTTTCTTTGTAAAAAGTAAGGGTTTTTTAAATGGAAAGAAAAAAAAGAGTACTGCCACATACTCTTTAAGCATACCATTTGTCACAAGCTAAAACCACACTGTCAAATGAAGGGAGTCCACGTTACAGAATGCATGACAGAGGAGATAGTAATGACAGCAGGATTAAAGAAGTCTTCTTCTATTTCCTGCACATAGTACTATCACATCTAATTAATTGATACCAGGGTCACATGAGCCTTCATTTTCCTCTTGGTTCAAAACATCTATGAAGAAGCTTTTAGAAGATCTCATCCCCAGACAGGAAAAAGCTGCTCTCTTCCTAAACCTAGCTCCCTGTCTGCTGGAATGGGGCTTTCAGAAGCTCACATACCAGTGTCACCCAATTAGAGAAAATA